TCGTGTTGTAATGTAGATCTGGTTCATATTTATGAAGGTCATGATGCGCAAACATGATGAGTCACACTTCAGCCAATATTGAAATATTAAAATTCACGAATATCGGGTAGCTTTCTGTGAGTGGTGCAGTTAGTCTTGTCACCGGCCCAAACTATCCGTATGAACTGAAATGTTACCATAAGGTACAGTATTAATGAATACAAAATAGTATGATTTTTTTATTATTATCGAATCTTCTGTCTATAGTACCGGCAGCGTATAAGCGACCCCGACAGATCAGTGCCCTGCTGCCACACAATACTACGCACATAGCACCATCTACATCACAGATAAATTACATCTCAAAGCATTAACACTTACTGACAGACTATGACACGTCTTGATATTACGTTCATATGGTTCGACAAAACTAAAACTTATCGCCTCCGCCACTTTGTGGGAGTTAGATGAGCGACAACGCTGAACGCTGGCTGTGAGAAAGTAAACAAATCCTCGAAAGTTGAATGCTTCAGAACAGGTCACATGAAGTACCACAGCACGTGGCAAGAGAAGTCAGAGGATCATACGCTGCCGGTACTGTAGTGAGCAATGGAAAGGTTGTAGATTGTTGTGATCGCTCGGTAACTCACGTACCTGCACAGAATATGTTATGTTTGTAGATATTTAACACTGATGCGTAGTAGAGCCACAACAGTTTATAGGACGTTCAGCCTGATGCTTAATATTTAATATGCCTTGATTAAGCATGCAAGGATTGTGAAGGATTTTTTTTTTAAATTGAAGTATACAAATTGTGAAAATAAACAATATTTCATAAAACATAAAATTCAATAATGAATTCTTTGAAAAAACTGTTGCAATTTCAATAAAAGAAAAAATAATTTGTTACCATACAACATACACTGTAAGTGGTAAGAAAAAAACTGGGTAGAAAAAGCGATAAACGTTTTGACATACACCGCCCTGATTGGGATATTTTGAACGTATAAATAAATACTATTTGTTTTAACCTCGCGAGTCGAAAATGTAAAGCATTACAAACAAAATTCTAGGGTCGGAATGTGGCGTTATCTTGTTTTGCTGGTTCCCAGCGGTCTAGCACCAGCCCAATTCCTCCAGGTTGCGGGTTACGTCTACCCTGAACCGTTTCTATCAATCATTACAAGCCTAAACTCTCAGAGCGATTTCTGATTAGCGCAATGATAATACACTTCGTGAGTGAGCATTGTGTGTACAGGAATAGGAAGTACAAGGTAGGAAAAATCACCCGTATTTTCTAGACAGATATTTTGGAACCTGATTCGACATGAGTCTCAAATTAAACAAAGGAAACCACTAGGCGATTTAATGAAAAAGCCGCTCTCTACAAATCTTTCCAACATAACATCACAAGTTACACAGCAGATGTCCAAAAGTTCTCCACAATCAAGACTAAATCGTTGACACACACACGTATATAAAGTGACAGCGGGAGAGAATGCTATCAGATGAATACATATTAATCCAAACTTTGTAAATTAATACTGACAAAAGCCATCATCGTACAGTTTCAAACACTCTCATGGTATTTTCTTTCTGACACTAAATAAAGCAATACCAAGTCATTCGCAAATCTCCACGACCACTAAAACAGACTATTACATTACGTTGATCGTTGTGCAATACTTTTGCTGTCACTGTTTCCATCGTTTCAACTTTCTTCATAATCTTAATGATTCCATTTTTCTTACAAAAAATTTCCAAGCCTCAGCTATGTACGACTTGCGTAGCGTGGGTTGTTAGCTACCAAACATAACGTTCTCCACCCTCATATTCTGCTTCATCATTTGTACAGTTAGCGATCGTTTTCCTGTCGTAGCTGGTAAAATATTGTCGTGCCGTTTTTATATCAGAATTTGATATATGGGAACCAATATTTGAATAATCGTTCACAAAACGCCCATGTGTATGCTTATCTTCGGCTCGGAAGTCGTGCACGGCGCTTTTAGCAGGAGACAAGGCAGAAACTACGCTCGAAGGCGCGGTCCTGCCATCTAGCTGCGGCTCGCGGAAGCTCTAGCGGGTGTGAAGTTGACTGAAGGATTGCTGCATTTACACACTTCCTTTCGATCTTCTAGTGAATTCGAGATGATTGTTCATAAAATACAAGATTGTAATAAGAGAAAAAGGTTTTGTAACTCGATTTTAAATCAAAGTTCAAATTTCATGTTTATTTGGAAAGTTACGTAATTTGAAACGACGAATTAAAGGATTTAAAATAAGTTACTAACACAGAATTCTAAGAAAGTTGTAACCAAATTAACAAACCGAACTATGGCAGATAAAGGGATTGCTCACAGAGTAATAGTTTAAAGTAGCAGTTTTGTATGTCATATCAATTTAATACCAATAAATGTATTTAAACCTATTTCAATAAATATTTGTGATATACAAATTATTCTTTGATTTTCATTTCACATACATTACAAGTAATGTACATGTAGGACAATGGTAACAAATTATATCATGATTTTTAATTTACACAAAGAATTATACGATTGTATGTTAATGAATTCACGACAGTGCTACAAATAATATTCAATAGATTTGTTTTACAAAAGTTAGTAACTTTCGTTATTTTATAGCAACGAAGTCGAAGAATACAGCAGGCACGTGCTTAATTAGCGATAAATAAGCCCTGAGGGTGGGAAAATGTTACAAAAGTCAAATAACCTGTACCGATAAGCGAATCTACTCCATTCAGAGGGCCCATTTTAGAATTTTGTTTATAGTTGTAAATGCTATTAAACATACTGTGCGTTTCAAAAAGAAAGCATCATAATACCTCAACAAATAAACAATACGACCCTCCAAAATAACAAATTTTCAACTAAAATTTGAATAATTTCCGGTAAATTGGTGTTAAAGTTGTATCTCTCAGACATATCTCCGTATACGCAGTGATTATTGCAGTTTTATTATCTGTCCTCAGATTGCTACACAAGAATGCTCTTCTTGTAGCAAAAGTCAGATACAATATTATCACACTAACAACTAATTTTCTTGCATTTTGTCAATTGGTACGATTGAAGGGAGCGGGCAGGCAAGCTGGAGGGGGGTTTAAATTCACATTTATGGTCATAGTTTGGTATTTTTAGGTCATAAATGCTTCTATATTTCTGACATTTTTTGGTCATAAATATCCGGGCCCTAGTGAGCAGTGATCAGGTGATTGGAGGGAGGGGAGGGTGAGCTAGCGAACGGTGATGGGGGAGGCATGAGAGAAGGTGATGAGAGCTTGGGCGTTTGGAAGAATGGAGCACGTGAGCTCGTTAGTGCTGTTGAGTGCAGGCCCGTGGGTGATCAGTAGGGGCGGAATTTGATGACCCAAAACAATACCAAAAATGATCAATATAATGCTTTAAAATGCCCAGAAACAGAAAAATTACGTTAAAAATTTGATCAAAAACACTTCAGATAAACAACTCAAGCTATTGGATATCTTACTGATGTATGATTTCAACTGCATTTTTTGTTTATTTCATAAACTTTAATATCATTTTACTGGTACTTGCGTCAAACAATATTTAAGATGTATGTTCACCACAGAATTCCTGAGTAACCTAATCGATTCCTTCGCTCATATATTGTAATATCAGCCCTAGTGCTCAGTTATTTCGTGACCGGGGGGAGGGGCGGGCGGGCTGGCAAACGTAGTTGGGAAGGCAGCCGACTGCGGGCTGTGTTGACCTTGCAAGTGCCGTAGAGCGGGCGAAAGACCTTGACGCAACGATTTCCTCAGAGCGTTATCACAGAAGAAGGCTATCTATGCGCCTTTACAACAATCGCTATCCAGTGTGTGGGTGTTGTTTAATGTTAACAATGGTAAAGTACCTATAGCCAATAGCAAAAAAATCTGTCTTTTATTTAATTTTATGAGAATAAGAGCCTGCTTCACCCGTGTCTGATTAACTGTCTGATAGTCTATCCGTTATCTTACTGATATGTTGAAAATTTGTGTTTTAGAGTGCCTGATAAATATATCCACTGGTTAAAGTATCCGGTAAATAATCTGGAGGTTCGAGAGGCTATTAAATGTTTATCTGGTCAACTGGATAACTTCAAAATTTTGTTTGTGAACTTGTTGTGATTTTCAAGGAATATCTGTGGTATCTGCGTGATGAACAACTTAATAGAGATAATAGACGAATAATATTGAGAGATAATAGATGAACAACATTGCAAATCCCGTTTTAGATTAAGGAAGCCTACGGTTAGCAAAGTTATGTCTTCATTAGAACAGAAAACAAAAAGAAATGATATGCGAATACCGACATATTTCTGTAATGTCCTGGTAAAGTAATAGTCCTGTTAAATTCATTTTATGACAAAATAATAAAATGCATACTTCGTGTTTTGTTAGCAATTCTGAGGTATCACCAATGAACCGACTTCTCACTCTGCATTTGTAGTTTGCAACGGGATCATTTTTTATCGTAATTAGTGACTTCATTGACGTGAGCAATCTACTGCTTCAATTGTAGTGAGTTCGTGGAATTTCCAACGAATATTGAAATCACCCAAGAAGATTTTTATGAAATTGCTAGATTTTCTAGAGTTATCACATCAATAGCTTGCACACATGTTCCCATACAATCACCTGGTAATATGCAACATGCATTTCGTCGATGTTTAAGAGACGTTACATCTCAAAAATATAATTAGCAAATACTATTATTTATAAGAAAGATACCTGACAAGTACTTTAACAAGAAAGACCTTGGTGAACGCAAAATAAATACGAATATCAGACACTTTTATCTGAGACATAAATATCAGACTCTTTTATCGGATACATAAATATCGGGCACTGATATCTGATAAAATATCTGTCGGATTAATATCCGGAACTTTATCAGGCACAGTGAAGCAGACCCTTAGACTGTACGTGGGGGGAGGGGCGTGCGGGGTGGCAAGCGGTGTTGGGAACTGGGACAGCCGACTGCCCGCGCGGTGTTGACCTTGAGGTGCCGCTGAGCGGGCGGGCGACAGCGGTGGGCGGTGACGGGCGGTGGCGCCGGGCGACGCGTGTGATGCGCGGCTGAGCGACAGGGGCGATCCATCACCGTCAGGCGCCAGGGCGCGCTCTTTGAATTCGCGGCTTTTGTACGCGGCTCAGCTGCGAGCTAATCGCGATGAATTATTGAACTGGCCCGCCGGTCTTGTGAGGGCTTCACTGATTATTCTCTGCCGCCGTATCGTGTTGAAACGATCGTTAATGAGAAAAAAAATAATTGCTCATCGAAAAAGCTTATGTTATACTTTTCACTCTTGTTTGTTGCATTTATGTTTCGAATATATGTAACACATGTATTTATTATTTAACTCTTTACAGCACAGTGGTACAAAATAGGTACCAGTGTGCGCAATGTATCAGCCGCACGGAGGTACAAAAGAACCGATATTTCTTTTCCGTATGTGTTGTTTCATGGTAGGATAATTTATGAAGCACCGCTAAAGGTAGAAGAAAACAGTTCTCAGAAATACAAGAAGATGTAGGCAGATAAATGTCTACAGATCACCCGATAAGCATTTTTTACAAAGCCTTCAATACATTTTTTCGTGGTACCTGTTGGTGTGAGCCGAGGTTCTAGCTGTACAACTAAACCAAAAAAGTCTAATGGCCCCTGGTTATGGCACATTTTTGCGAGCTACAAATAGTATTCTTTTCGTTTAAATATACCTTGGCATGTCAGAAGTATTGCAATTACTGTGTATGTATTTATTAATTATGTATCAATAACCGATCCCTGACATTATGGCATTTTCTTAACATCCAAATATTTGTAAGTGTTATTCATCATTTTTCATATGGCATTTTGTGAGTCAGTTCATGATTCAGAGTTGCATTCAGCTTGCTCGTTTTAGTCAGTCTGATGATATTAATTAATCTCTGAACAATCAAACGCTTTGTAGTTGTTCTCTACGTTCGGTTCATTTCTTTGGATCGTCGCACGTCACTGCCTTCTCAGTCACGCAAGTATTATATGGCCAATCAGACATGCATGTAACAACCAGGATATTTGTAATTAATGTAACTTAACTATTAAACATTCTAGGTATTACAACGTAGAAGAATGGAAACTACAGATATTTTACCAAACATCCGAGCAACTATCGGACCTACATTCAAAACTCCACACAGCTTACATCAATTTGACAAAACCTTATCTGTGTTGCAAATGCTCGAAAGTTCAATGAACGGACAAAGTGTATAGAGTATACAAAACTAAGTATACAGATAATTATCTACCAGAATACGACGACACGAAAAACGTTAAGGCGAGCTTTCGTTCGCGAACAATCTTCCTCTGAGAACCGACTACATTAGCTCTACTAATCTTGTAAAAAACAATAATTATAGCTGCAAGTATGGTTTCAGTGTATAAAAATTTGAACGGTCCGTAAGTTTATGTAACTAAATTATAAAATGTTTAACGTATTTACAGATGATGTCTGAGCTTCTAAAAACAAAATTCCCCACGTTGAATGATTCACATCGAATTTCTATCATTAATTTCTACGATTTTCGCAATGTAAAAGAGTATCAATACCTTAGACCTTGGGTACAGAGGGTACGAGATAGCACTACATATTACAACTTCGAATTTCACAGAATCAAATCTTGTTTCTCATGAGTTGTTTTCCGAGATATTTCACTTACAATGACATAAAAAATAATCTTGAATCAAAGAGATCGTGATGTTCAGCGCATATCTTGCAACGGACGGGTAAAAAAGAGTGACTGACGTCAATCCCAATTACTCAGAAAGAACAAATACCCTGCTTCAACGGAAGCTGAGCAATTCATCCTTATCAAAATCTCCCTCGGGGATAATAGATACGATGGTGGGTATTGCTGACACTTCCTTTGAGTACATCGTCATCCATCACTGATCGACGGCCCACCATCTCCCTAAGCACTTTCGTCAATGGAGCTGCCGCTGTTCAGGCATAAAAATCATGTCCAATTAACATACTATCCGCCATAAAACAAATTACTCTCTTGGGGGAATTGTGTGTTGAAAGGGAGCCAATTTATGTTTGTATTTTCACAAAGGAAACTAACGAATGCTCTAGGAAACAACATGAAATTTTCTAGTAAATTAAATTAGAGTTCTCTCTAAGAGTACTAACCACGCAATAGCTTCATATACAAAGAATCTCGATACGTTCGACTTAAATTTTCTACAAACGATATTTCTTTCTCTTTGCCTTATCTTTCTATATTTCCAGTGTTACATATTTTACCTGCAGCCAAGTTTCTCCAATTATTTCGGTTTATGTGAGATTAAATAATTTAAACAGAATTAATTCAAAATATTTCTTGTGGAAAGGAGACAATGAGCATTGGATTTCAAATTACTGGTACTTTATGTAATGTCAGAAAATGTTTCACAGAGAGTTTCTCAGTGAAATGTTGCTTAAGCGTAATTATTTAAGAAAGTATGTGAAAAATCGTTATTGGGACGAAGTATATTAGTTTTTTACGTACGTTTGTTTTTAATTTTTCCCTTTAAAGGCCATTAATATATTTCTGACGTTTCTTTACAAACGATTTTTGAAGAAATATGTTCGTCTTGAAGGGCAAAATTTTACGTTGGTAATTTAGAGAGAAATTGTCATTTTCTGAATCAACACAGTTAACAAAATCATATTTTTCATTTAGGCTACTCCAAAGTTACTGGCCTAAACTTAATTGATCAATACTTACATTAACTAAAAAAATAATTCTGAAAATAATTTACATTACTTTGGCAATCTAGTCTTCGAGGGCCAGACAAACGTTGATAGAACCTTACTTGTAGCCCAAATTTCCAGTCTCTTATATTAACTTTCTCCGCATCCACAAACTTGCATAATGAAAGGAAAGTATTACTCCTTAAAACATGGATTAATAAATTATCAAGCAGTTTCTACCCTTCACTTACCTCTTGCCCAGCGACACAAATTTTACAATTAGGACAGTCAGCTCACCCTTTGCCCCGTATTAAATCTCGTCATTCGAAAGTTTTATTACATCCTCCTTAATTCCACTGATTCAATACTAACAAATCATGGAAATTAAAATAACTGTTCAGGGGCCCCTTCCTGGATCAACCTCTAAGATTGTTAATTATGTTTAATGTCTAAATATGTTTATAATATACCACAAAATCAATGTATTTGTTGTAAATATTTTCTAACCCTTGAAAGTCATTTTTATGTCTAACAAGGAAAATATATAATATTAAAAAAGGAAAGTATTGTAATATTGTCGAAAGTGGTGACTTTATCAAACAAATTCTTATTATGGGGTGATGATATAGAAAATGGATAAACGTTGATGGATAAATGTTGTTTCTATACATAGTATTTCACTTCCTCTAACTCGCGTAAACAGAATACAAGTTTCGTAGATATTCAATCCCGAAAAATTGGTTTACGTCAAATCGTCTGTCAGCCGATCCGTCGATTCATCCGTTCGTCCTTTCATTTTGAATCGCAAACTAAGCTATATTTTATTCTTGACCACTCAAAAGTAATTCTGTCAAACTTGGGAACAAATACTCCGGTTTTTTTTTGGTTTTTTTTTGTGAGACGATGCATACTAAACAACTTTATTTTTATTAAATAAATTAAAATCATATATAGAAAATTATTTTCTTTCCTAGTAAATATTGTCTATCCTTCTTCGTTAATAACTTTTTATTTATGTGATATTCTTTTTCTAGATTAAAATGCTTTCAAATGAAACTTTTGAACAACTTTACTTTTATTAAATAAATTAAAACCTTTCTAGAAAATTGTTTTCTTTCCTAGTAAATAGTCTTATATCATTCTTCGTTAATAACTTCTTATTTATATGATATTACCTTTCTAGATGGAAATGCTTTCAAACGAATATCAGGGCATTTTAATTTATTTTATCGACCAGGAAATCTTTTTATAGTAGACATTTCTGAGACTGAATTGAAAGGTACAATTTAACCGGTAAGAAGTTTTTTCAATTTATCTCATAAAAAAAGCACGCGTTCTGTTCTGAATAATCAAAACATGCGTATTAATCTCGATCGCAGAAATATTGAGGAAATCTATAAGGACGGGTGAAAAGAAGTAATCTTCCACCCTAAAAATGTATTTACACTAAATTCAGATCTTACGTTCCAGCAAAATGCAGAACTGCAGGAATGTAACCCATCCACGTATATTAGGTTCGATTACAAAATATTGAGCTTTCATTAAAGTGGGAGTACATAACATGTAATAAATTGTTCGCATTGTATCACATATTGTAAGAGCATCTTTGGCTTTAACTTGTGGATGAAGAGTCTTGTCATTTACCTAATTTAGATAATGAAGAATGAAATCACCATCAATGAATCATTATCAATGAAATTAATTACGAGTTTCTAAGGAAAATTCCCAGTTTTTTAAAAAACCGTTTAAAATTTTCTCCCCAACGTTTACGCAAGCTTATTTAAGAGTAGAAAGTGTCACCTCGGTAAACATTTTTGTTTCTCAAAGCACACACGCAAAACGTTTCCTTTCACGAAAGTTTCCTCCGGCATTCGGCTCGCCGGCGTGTAATCATTGAAGCATTAGGAGGTGCAAAAGTTCCAGAAGCCGCATTCCGGGAAATTCTTTGAGGCGGAGACCGCTCGCCTCCAGACCAATTTCCCTTCGCCCGCGGTGGGAGCTTATCAGGGGTCGCGGGGGGGGGCAAGGGGAGGGGTGAGGGAAACGGTAAGAAGAAAGAAAAGTGGGGGCGGGGAAATGGAGAGAGCGCGCGCATGAAGACGGCGAAAGAAAAGTGGGAGATTTGAGAGTGGAAAGGAAATGTCAGTGAGTAGCACTCACTGACTGAATAGGGCTCCTGGGTAACAATTGATGAGCGTGCTCGCTTTCCATTACGCGGCCCCGGGTTCGGTTCCTCGAACATGCAAAGATTATGGTTTTCCTTGCAATGTCCCAGTACATGTTGCTACGTCGTGATGAAAAATTCACTTCTCAGGTTGAGAAGACCGGATTATGGCGTGGGGATGTCTACGTGCTAACCACACGTACCCCTTAACCCATGGCCGCGAGGCAGGGACGTCGCCGGTAGGCCTGAGCCCGTTCACGGGCTGACGCGCCATATACGTACACTATGTGATCAAAAGTGTCCGGACACGTGGCTGAAAATGACTTACCAGCGCCATCCATCAGTAATGCTGGAATTCAATAGGGTGTTGGCCCACTCTCAGTCTGGATGACAGCTTCCATTCTCACAGGCATACTTTCAATCACGTGCTGGAAGGTGTCTTGGGGAATGGCAGCCCATTCTGCACAAAGTGCTGCTCTGGGGAGAGGTATCGATGTAGAAGATTGGTGAGGCCTGACACGAATTAGGCGTTCCAAAACATCCCGAAGGTGTTCGATAGGATTCAAGGCAGGACTCTGTGCAGGCCAGTCCATTACAGGGGTGTTACTGTCATGTAACCACTCCGCCACAGGATGTGGAGTATGAACAGGTGCTCGATGGTGTAGAAAGATGCAATCACCATCACAGAATTGCTCTTTAACAGTGGGAAGCAAGAAGATGTTTAAAAAATCAACGTAGGCCTGTGCCGTGATAAGCTCCTGATTGGATGAATCCGTCAACAGCTAATTTACGTCAAGCGCCATAAAGAAAACAAAGTGCAGTACCTGTAGTCTCGATTGCAGTCGTATGTCGTGCAAAAATTAGGGAGTTTGTGCCACCTCGAACGTAAAGCACTATCGATCTTCTCCTCATGCGCAGTTCAAGTTTCGCACCATTTTAGGGCATCTGAGCATGCGTAGAAGATCGATACTGCTCACACTAAGGCTGTTACAAACTCCCTATTACCTCGTTTTCCGATAAAATGTTATTTTGACCATGCTATTGTGCTTCTTGTTGCGCTGATTTTCAATCGTATCGACAATCAGGTTCTACAAGTCGCGATAAAAGTCGACTTTTGCGTAATTTGCGCGCGTAACAAATGCGTCTCGCCAACGCCCCCTGAAGCCATTACACTTGAACACGTTCGCGGCGCGGCGGTGCGGCGCGGCGCCTCGCGGCATTAAAGATGGAACAACCTCGGAGGCGCTGCTGTCTCTCTTCCCCTGCACTTACGTGACGTCGTAATGGCTCGGCGGGGTCTAGGGCGGGGGCGGCGCAGGGCGGCAGCGACGAGTGGCTCGGATGGAATATGGGAGGAGAGTGTAGTCGGCCGATCGAGGACGGATCGGGGGCGGACAGGAGTGGGACGGGGAAGAGGGGGGGATGGGGTGAGCGTTAAGTGTGTCGGAGGTAGGGACAGGCAGGAGGCGCGGTTGAGTGACGATAGGCGGGCAGG